CGGCTCCCCAGCGAAACCCCAGCCGAAGCAGGAGCCGGGTCCCGGCCGGCAGCGCTTTCCCCCCTGCAATGAGTCGCCTCTGCTGATAAATGACGCCTCCGCTCAGGTTCCTCAGCAGTCCGCAGCTGAGTCGGAGGGAATTTGATCCTTGATTTGGAGATGTGTTTTAATAAAACGGCTGCAACGTTGGCGTTTTATTAGGAGATTGTTGGTTCCAAATTAATACTTCATCTATGAAAAACGTCTGTCCTAACAAACTAGGCTCACCTCCGTGCGCCCCATTCTTCATCTACGTGCATTTTCCAGCTGGGAACCTAGCTCTACATTTCCCTGAATCATCAGACCATTAATTTTCTGGGGAGCTAGCTGTTCCACCCGGATGGGTATAATTCTGAATAAACTCAGAAGAAATGCAAAAACATATGCCTTTGTCATGAAAAACGTCTGTCCTAACAAACTAGGCTCACCTCCGTGCGCCCCATTCTTCATCTACGTGCATTTTCCAGCTGGGAACCTAGCTCTACATTTCCCTGAATCATCAGACCATTAATTTTCTGGGGAGCTAGCTGTTCCACCCGGATGGGTATAATTCTGAATAAACTCAGAAGAAATGCAAAAACATATGCCTTTGTCTTTTTCTCCCCCATTTTCTCTCCCCCCCCTCCCCTTTATTTTCTTTCCTCTTCAGTCAGTCTGTGCTAAGCAATGCCTTCAGAAACTTCATTATCTAAAAGGCAGACCTAGAGGGCAGGGACTTTGGGAATAGTACCCTTTTATTGTGAAACTTTCTAAACTTGGAGCAGGGTTGAGCATGTCCTCAAATCTGCACCTTCCGGGATGAAATGAATGATGTGCCAGATGCTTCACTTCTTGTCAAAAAATATAAACCAAATGCTGTAACGTTCCTGATTCTTCCTCAGGCGCATTTTCTGTGCACGTTTTACAGTCAGGATGTAAAATGGTCACCTTAGAAGTTGATAAAAACCCTATGCAGATGATACTGTATATCTCTTTCCTCATTTTATTTCAAGTAGATTTTACTAACAATTTATAGCAAAAAATGGCCAGCCACCCCGACAGGATACCTTTGCAGGTTGCAGGCCAAGCTCGAACAGCTCATGTTAGAAAGAAACTTGGACTAGGCGTAGCATTTCTGAAAGAAGAACGTCTTTTTTTTCTGCAAATGGGTATTATTTTGCGCTTAAAATTTCACCTTCCTTTGACTTTGTTGAAAGGTGAAAATTTACTCCCAAGTCATAATGAAGCATTGAAAAGGAGGGTGTTTGCAGTGGAATTTTAGGTTTTAAGGTATTGTACATTAAAAAACATCCGAACAGAGCAAGTGCAGTTTCTGCTTGATATCTGAAGCACTATCATCTAGGAAATCTTCTGAAAATATTGATCTGCTAGATGATGTGAGTGCTGAATAGAAAAGTATTTCCACCAGCTCGGCAATACAAATCAAGAAACATTGTACATATAGTATGATTGATAAATCAAAAATTTGCAAACGCAATGCCCACATCGCAGCACTCAAGATATTTTTTCCTATTTATAAAAATACGTGTTTAAGTACTCAACTTTGGGTTTTCCTTGTCTTAACTTTATGCTTTATTGAAAGCTGTTGAACCCTTAGACATTTGATTACTGGCATGTTAGGTTTAGGAAGTGGGGTTATAATACAGGCAGTTACACACCTAATGCAAATGTCTGTGTTGAAATCAGAATCATTATCTTTCATGCAGGTGAGTGAAGCAGGTTCTTCACTTACGGCAACTTTAGTGTCAGTCCGAATTTTTTGATCTGTATTTATTTTTATTTACCATTATTGCTTGCAGCAGGGCTTTCACTGAGGTGAATATCCCTAATACATGCATTTAGAATTGTCTGGCTAGTTTGTTTAAATACCTGGAATATTTTTTAAAAACTAAAATAAAAATATCTTTTTAATGCTGGATTAGTTTTCTGCTGTGATGTTTGGAGGAGTAGTTTAGTCTGTATGTTTGATCAACATACAATGTGGTTCATGCTTCCACAAACATTTTTAATCATATAGCAAATTGTTGAATGTTGCTATAAGGAGCAACGGACAAAGGCTACCGGGAAGTGTAACTACATTAAACGGGCGAAACATGGGAGGGCTGAAATAAGGGACTGAACCAAACCACGCTGAAATCAATGGGAGACTACTGCTGAGTTGGAACAGGCTTCAGGCACGGTATAAATGACTGTACAGGCACAGCGCTTTTCATCTCTGTCCGGTTCTGCTTTGGTTTACAGCACATTATTTACAGGTAACATTCTTGAGCTAGATTAAAATTTACCGATTTGTGTCTGGGGTAATAAGATCTGTGTTTGGATGTAAGTGCCCGTAGGAAGGCTGGACTGGTACTGCAGTGGTGATGGAAGTGATATGCAAGGTTCACCTTATCCGAGCAATGATTGCTTTTAGGGTATTTCTGAAAGTTTTGTTCTTTCAGATAAAGGTGTATTTATGTATGAATGCAGCAACTCTCTGAAAGGCTTGGTGAGGCCTTTCGCAGTAAACTTGTTTTTTTCAGCCACAGGACTGAAAGTTGAAAAATGACCAGATTACGAAGTCTATATTCTTCTTTGCCAAGGAGTAGCAGCAAATAGGGACACCCGCTCCTGCCCCCTCACCCTTAGTGCTGTTCTACAAATATCACTTAATAATTAATTCCCTGTTCATATTGGAACTTGACTGTGAAAATGCTGTTTTCTGCTAGGAGAATTCAGATGCTGTAAACACTGCTGCAGCAAATGGAGTGTTTCTGTTGGGATATACTATAAGTGGGTTTCAGTCTGTTCCCGCTGGAGCCATAAGTTTAGAATCAGATCCCGCTTAATATCATATTTCTCCTTCTCATGATACTTAGTGACCGGAGCAAAAAGCATAGCTATTTAAAAAAAACCACTCCTTAAAAAATATACGGACTTGCTTATCTAGAAAATCTCAGTATCGCTGGAGTTTTAATTTTCTCCACTCATTTGAAAAGGACTTAGAGACTCCTTTACAAACTTTGCTTCATATTTAGATACTCTTTCCTTGTAAGTTCTACTGTGTACTGAAGAATAGCACATTTAATTAAAAAATCCTAACACATAAAATCGTGCAGTGTTGTCAGCAGTTGCAGAGAAAGGGCCAAATTCTTCCT